TTTGAAAGCTCTAGGTCTAATAGTTTTCTAGTTATGAGCCGGACAGGATTTTTCCATATTTGGCTATAGCATCTTTATTAAAGGTCAGAGCGACCTACTTTTTGTGCGCGACACACCGTCTACCCAAGAAGTATGAGTTGACAAAGTTTGATAATCCTAGGCCTAATAGTATTCAATTTATGAGCCGGACAGGAATGGACAGACGGACAGACGGACGGACGGACACGAAGCCTATAACATAATACGTCCCGTCTTAAGACGGGCGTATAAAAACGAAAAGTTTATAAGTATATGATATCACGCATTCGTATTGGTGATCTGTGGCAACGCACTTTGAAAAAATTACGCACTTTGAAAAATTTTTTCAAAGTGCGTTAAATTTTGGGACCAGGTTAACGCACTTTGAAAAAATAAATTTTTTTTCAAAGTGCGTTAATATCGACCATATTAACGCACTTTGAAAAAAAAATTCTGCGTGGCTTAGTCAATATTCCTACAAATCTTAGGTATGATAAATTATCATTTGAACCTGATTTGATACTTTTTGTCCCCCGCTTGAAAAGTGGGAGATATTAATTTGGGTCTATCTGTCAGTCCGTCCGTCTAGCTGTCCGTCCATCCGTCTTTCTGTAACGCTTTCGTTTCCACACGTTATCTCGCCATCCCTTTGAACATTTGCAATGAAATTTAACATAACAGAATCCCTGTGGCCTTAGGAAGACCCCTTTTGAATTTGGGGTCAAAAGGTCAACATTCAATGTCGTAAAGAACTACGAACGATAGTATAATGATTGTTCTTCCGCCTATCTCTTAGTCAATTCTCAAAAGTTAACATATTGGAATGATTCTTAAAAAATTTATAGATATTTATATGAATTTTCATAAAACCTTACTTATTTGGGATACCAAAGAGAAATAACTCTATAATTTTGGCAAAACTTGTGTTTTTAAACACCTGGAGTTTAACAGAGAGATTATCAGATATGGTATCAAATTAACATTGAAAAGCCGACAGGTACTGTAGATTCCTTAATATAAGCGAGGAATTAATTTCGGCGTAATTTCGCGAGAAGTATCACTCGCGAAAAAAATATTACTCGCTTTTATTTTTCTGGTGCTTAAATCTATGTAAAATCTGTTCATTAACCGTTCATTCGCGAATTATAATTCTAGCGATTTGACGTTTGAGAGCCAGTTCGCGATGAAAAACACTCGCGAAAAATAAGGAATTGAAGGAAAATGAACATTAATAGACTTTGAGATTTAAAAGAACAAAATTTCGATTTACTACAGACTTCCTTGTACAGTGCTTATACTGTATTTAGAATGCTCTTTTTTTCAAATATCATTGACACTTAAGGTTACGAGTAATAGAAATAGATATATCTGGGTGGGAATGATAAAGAGTTGAGCTGATAGACCTTAATTCAGCCAGTCTTTTCTTCGTTTTCCGTTTCTTGGTTTTCTTCAATCCATCAGTTTTTAGAAAGAAACACATCAAAGTAAGGGCACCGCAAAGCGGAGCATTCCTTCCCAAAAAAGCATGTTCAGTAAATCATTTGACATCGATCCCGATACAAACTAGTGCTAATTGTAACAGGGACCGTTACAGATGTTCCCCAAACGCTCCCCAACTCCCTTTTGGTGCCATATTTCCTATAAGCTTCATTAAATAAGACAAACTCTATGCGTTTGAAACTTTAACAACGTTTACCCAGAAGTGTACCAATTTCATTCAAATTTTAGCATTGCACGTGTGCGCATGTGAATGCATGTGCGTAATGACCATATAATCTTGTCTCTACAATGTATAGATTTTAATATACTAAATATCAAAGTATTTAATCCAAACGTATTAAAAAATACGCTAATTCAAGTGTATTTTTGATTTTACTCATTTCACGTGCACGCACGTGCTCACATGAGCATGGCGACCATACTTTCTTGTAGAAGTCCATTACATCTATCTATGTTCTAAATCCCACCCCGTTTGGCTGAAATCCAAGAGAGTTATAGCTGTTTCAAGTTTCAGCCAATCAGATTGCAGCGCACGTACATGCACGTGTATGCATGTGCATGGTGACCATGTCTTCTTGTAGAAGTCCATTATATCTATACATATTCCAAATCCCATCCTGTTTGGTTGAAAACCAAGGGAGTTATAGCTATTTAAAGCATAAGCCAATCAGATTGCAGCGCACGTGCATGCACGCGTTTTCAAAATAATTGCTATATATCTTATTGAAGGATATCCTAATACATGCCTATATTTAAAATTTCAAAGGATTTCGTCTAAAAACAAGAAAGATATTGGGACTTTAGTTTCAGCCAATCAGAGCGAAGCGCACGTGCATGCGCGTAAGATCTTGCTATTTTGACCATGTCATCTTGTCTATGCTTCTAATATATACTTCTAATATGACTTTTAAAGCATATCATCAATAATTTAAATAGTTACGTCTGTATCAATTATATTGGACATTTCTCGTGTTGCACGTGCGAACTCTTGCAAGCACACGTGCATGCACATGCTTTCATGATATTTCTTTTATTACGGGCTGTAGATCTCCCTAATGTATGACTATGTTCAAAATTTCAAATGATTTTATCAAAAAACAAAAAAGATATTGAGACTTTAGTTTCAGCCAATCAGAGCGAAGCGCATGTGCTTGCACGTGCGATCTTGCTATTTTGACCATGTCATCTTGTGCATACTACTCATATATCCTTACATTATGAGTTTCAAAACATTTCGTCTAAAAATAGAAAAGTTACGGTTATATCCATTATATATTGGTCATTTCAAGTTTTGCACGTGCGCGCTCTTGCAAGCACGTGCGCGCAAAATGACCTTGATTCCGCAAATCTACATAACATGCCTACTTATCCTAAAAAGGTTTCCCCTTAATCGGATGTGTACTTTACAAGATCATTCGCGGACAAAATTTTCCCGAGAAGAAAAATAATAATAATAATAATAATAAGAAACAGAGTAAAAACAATATGTTCCCCAACTTCGTTTGGGGAACATAATTAAAGATCTATTGAATCCACTTTCCTGCGATTAGTTCCTTTGAGAGTATACAACGATATATATGGGCAATCTGTATAATGAACTTTAATGAACTTGATTGGATCGAACAGACGAAGGGTAGTTATAAAGGATATATCAATGTGGTTTAGAATATTTGGAACAGAGAAATCCTAGAGAAAATTTTGACTATTAGGAATTTAATTTTAGTGTAGACAATTGGATAATTTTCCTCTAAAATGGCTTCAAATTGAGCATATTTTAAATAAACTAGTGCTAATTGTAACGGGGACCGTTACAGATGTTCCCCAAACGCTCCCCAATTCCCTTTTGGTGCCATACTCCCTGTAAGCTTCATTAAATAAGACAAACTCGATGCATTTGAGACTTTAATAACGTTTACCCAGAAGTGTAAAAAGTTCGTTCAAATTTTGCGTGCGCATGTGAATGCATGTGCATAATGACCATATCATCTTGTCTACACAATCTATATATTTTTATATACTAAATATTAAAGCATTTAATCCAAAAGTATTAAAAAGATACGCTCATTCAAGTGTGTTTTTGATTTTGTTCATTTCACGTGCACGCACGAGCATGGTGACCATATCGTTTTGTAGATGTCCGTTACATCTATCTATGTTCTAAATTCCACCCCGTTTGGTTGAAAACCAAGGGAGTTATAGCTGTTTAAAGTTTCGGTCAATCAGATTGCAGCACACGTACATGCACGTGTATGCATGTGCATGGTGACCATATTTTCTTGTAGTAGTCCAGTATATCTATCTATGTTCCAAATCCCATCCTGTTTGGTTGAAAATCAAGGGAGTTATAGCTATTTAAAGTTTAAGCCAATCAGATTGCAGCGCACGTGCATGCACGTGTTTTCATGATAATTGCTATATATCTTGTTGTAGGATATCCTAATGCATGGCAATTTTCAAAATTTCAAAAGATTTCATCAAAAAATAAGAAAGATATTGAGACTTTAGTTTCAGCCAATCAGAGCAAAGCGCACGTGCATGCGCGTGAGATCTTGCTATTTTGACTATGTCATATTGTCTATGCTTCTAATATATCCTCATATTATAAGTTTCAAAACATTTCATCAAAAATTTAAAAAGTTACGCCTATATCAATTAAATCGGTCATTTCACATGTTGCACGTGCACGCTCTTGCAAGCACGTGCGCGCAAAATGACCTTCGTTCCGCAAATCTACATAACATGTCTACTGACCCTAAAAACATTTCAACTTAGTCGGATGTATAGTTTACGAGATCATTCCCGGACAAAAAAGTACCCAGGAAGAAGAAGAAGAAGAAAAATAATAATAATAATAATAAGAAACAGAGTAAAAACAATATGTTCCCCAACTTCGTTTGGGGAACATAATTACGTCAATTCCACACAGAAAAAACTAACATACACATAAAGTAATAACACACATAATCGCATCACTATATCCCATCATACGTTGCGAGGGGATAATACTGTTGTCTATTTCTAAAATATAAGTCTAATTCCTTTTGTTTAATGAAAATTTTTTCAAAGTGCATTAAATGTTTACATGGTGTAAAATTATGATGTACAGTTTTAACGCACTTTGAAAAAATTTTTCAAAGTGCGTTGATTTGGTCCCAAATTCAACGCACTTTGAAAAAATTTTTCAAAGTGCGTTAACCTGGTCCCAAAACTTAACGCACTTTGAAAAATTTTTTCAAAGTGCGTAATTTTTCAAAGTGCGTTGTAACAGTGATCTTTAAGAAAAAAAGTTATCAGCTAGTTTCACACAGTATAGAAAATGGTGTTCGATTAGCATGCCACGTTGAACTCAATCTTATTTAAATTAGCGGAATTCCATGTAATTAGATTGGCATTGAACGCCGAAGGAGGAGGGAGGGAATAAAAAGCGGGGGTCTGAGAAACTGTCTTTCTAATGACAGTATTTACTTTTTTGTATTCTACAGTTGATGTATTTTACACATCCAATCTACGGATGAACTGGTCAGAGGCAGTGCTGGAGTGCAGCAGACTCAACTACAGAATCGCTGATACTTACTTCTTCCCTGGGGTACTAAATCCATCGCGTCTAATTCTCTTCTGGGTTGGAATTTTTCGCAGAGAATTCACAAAAATCGACACCGGTAGATAATTATGATATCAGACAAGATGATGTAACTTGTTATACAATTTTTATGCATCATTTACTCCTAAGTCAAGCAGATTTTAGTACATGCAATATCGAAAATGTGCGTATATCTTATAGTATGCCATAATAAAGAAACTTCAATTTTAGATTTCGAAAAATTCATTTCAGAATTTTAAAAAATACTTTTAAATAGAGGTATTATTTGTTTATTTAAATGTATTTCTTGAAAGAAAAAGAGGATTTCATTCAGTGGTATGACAGGAGTTGCGGATAAGAGATGGGTACCCTACAGCGTAACAGACAGACCCGTGGACGTACAGACAGCTAGATGAACGAACGGACGGATATCCCGATTATTATATACCTCCATAGTAAATATTTTTTACGTTCACTCTAAACGCACTTTTAAAAAATTCAAAGTGCGTAAATTTTATACAGTGTGTTTCCCGTCGCTCTTCCCGCTTTTCGAGTGGGGTATGAAAAAATCCTATTGTTAGCTATAGTAAACCAAAGATTTGAATTTTCATTATACTAACTCAAAGTATTTTTAGTATGTCAAGGATCAATATATATTTTATTCAGTATACAACCCGCTTGAAAAGCGGGAGGGTACATAGTATTCGGGATGTCCGTCCGTCCGTCTGTTACGCTTTGGGCTACCCGTCTCTTATTTGCAACTCCTCTTATACCACTGAGTGAAATTTGATGGGCCGTTCACATAATCTGTATTATATATTGCCATTATGCACTTTCTATTTTACTTTTTGATCCGACATGTAGTGAGTACTTTGGGTTTTCCATAGTATAACTTAAATAAACTACATATGTAATCCGTATGTAATTTAAGAAACATAAGACCCTGTCTTAAAAAGTTCTAGAATAAAGTTCCATAATAAATCAAAGTGTTTACTTAATTATGGTAAATTGCACTGCAAAAAGGGTATTGCACTGCAAAATTAAACCTTGTAAGATTCTCCATCTCGGAATATTCATATGTTTATTCTGCAAAACTGACTTAAAGTATCCACATATTATTAAACATTTACAAAAATTTTAATTACATGAACCTCTTTTATTTGTAGTTATTCCCAATAATCCACAAATATCTACCTTGTGTACGGCTGTGACTGTTAATTCAGATGGGACTATGAACATATTCAACGAAAACTGTGGCCAGCGCTTGCCATCCTGGTGCGAAGTCCAACAGACAAGCACACAGCCAACAAGCACAACTAGTGTAAAGGGAATTCGAATAATTACGAGACCCCTTCCACCTGAAGGTAAACCATTATAAACCTTGACCAGTGGAGTAATATGAATGTCTTTTACATGTGAATTGCAAAATTTAGCCAGTAAAATCCATTCAATCATTTTGTAAATTTACTACTTTGTCGTCTAATTTGAATGATTACTAGCGGATTAAACACCCCTTCCCCGCCTCTTTTGTGTCCAAAATATACATAAAGAACAAGGTTCACTTTTGCCTTATTTGGCCCTGTGAATTTCTGAAAAACTGAAACCGCATAGTTTTAGTTAACAATGCATTAAATATCACTTAAATCTATGGTGACTGCGTATCTTTCAAAAATGACGTCATTTTCTGGCTAGTCAATGCATTATGACGTCACAAAATGCGTCAATTCCCTCATATTCTGAAAAAGTCTACAAAAGCGGCCAATTTTGAAAGATATTTTTCGATATTTAATATAGAGCGCAACCTCTGATCTAAAATATGCAACTAGTAAATGATAGAACTGTTTCTTAGGATTTATGGACATATTTGACTTTTTAGATCCGAGATTGCGCTCATATTATTTTTCTTCACTGAAAGTACTTAATTATACCTGTTTACCTAAAATTTCAAGAACATTGCAATTTCATAAAGCCAGTTCTCCTAGACCTGGACTTTTAGAAGAAAATGTTTAATAGGATATGAAAGCACCAAGTCTTTATTTTATTTTAATGCTTCAAATAGAAAATCAAGTGTTGATCAATTAACTGGTATATCTACAGGGCCATTTTATGCATAAAGTGAACCAACTTCTTTAATAAATGTTTCTTTGTGTGTGTGTGTGGCTGTGCCCCCCACCCTTCCTTCAAGATATCTGGATCCACCACTGCGCATTATGTCCAGTCTGTTCTTTTAATATTAATATACTTCCCGTATTATATACATGTACGTATATGAGTAATTCTTCTGTTTATGTACATTTATTCAATGAAAACTTTCTTTTTTGGTCTTCCACAGGTGAAAACCACATTGTTACTATTTTTGTACCTCTGGGGATGTTTGCTCTTGTTGTTCTAGTTATTGCAGTCACAGTCTTTATGCTGAGGTATTTTCTAAATTAAATTATAATTCCATTATTAATCTAGATTCTGAAGGAGATATAAATGCTGATTTTGTTTCTTACTAGGAAACAAATATCTAAAAGAGCCCGAAAAGCCTGGATTGAAACTAAGAATTACAAAAAGCAGAAAGACTGCCTAACGGAATATACGGACAAAAATCAAAATGCTGGATCAAATTACGACCACATGACAAGAGGTACTCCGGAAGTGCAGGATTCTGTGCATAAATATGACTATGCCAAATTCAAACAAACCAACTCAGACAAGTCGCAGTACACCTCTATACATATAGGAAAAACTACTGAAAGGACCGATTCCACATACGATCACGTGGCTAGACAGAAACCAAACCCAAACAGTAGTATCTACGACAGATCGCATATCAACCAATCTAACGTCACAGGTGCAGCAGACGACAAAGATGCAGCATATGATCATTTGACCAGACAGGATCAGAAACCAAATCTGACCAGTAGTGTTTATGACAGATCAGATTACAAGCAGAACATTATTCATTCTGATGACGTCACGGGAGATGCAGAAGACACAGCATACGACCACATAGATAGACGCTCGAGGAAAACAAAGGGGACACACGATACGTACGACCACATGGAAAAAATATGAATAATTGGAAAATATAAACAATTTATTTGGGCAGCTGCTTATTCTAGCAATTATGAACAATTGATTTCATCATATCATACTCCAAGTTCCACTCTTGCTGCAAAAATGTATTCATGAAGTTACCAAAATTCATCACCATATTTTTTTCAATCCTGTATCTACACATCATCAAGGGAAAAAATAAATTTATTTTTCCTCATTTTATTTTTTATTTAATAACAATAATATACAAATCAACAATTATGCATTGCAAAATAATCCTCTATAACATTTTCTGAAAGGAAGCAGTAACCATTCTTCATCATGTGATTGCAATGGGCCTGGCAATTGCATTAAATTTTTTTTTAATTTTTTTATTCCCACAAAACCCTTGATTATAATTCAAAAGTATTTCATTGAGGGGAAAAAATATCTTTACCTATGGAGTGTAGCTCCTTTATGGTTTAATTTTTGTCTCTAGCAGACTAATTCATGATCAACATGATAACGTCAACACAGAAAAGGCTTATTCTGTTCTAAATATTACCCAGAAAGAAATTAAATGAAGCATTTCAAACTGTCTTCACTGAAATAAACTTGCATTCAAAAACTGCTTTCAAATATGTTTGAAAACATACAGATAAGTGGAAAAAAAATTAAAGCCACCTTTCCCAAAAGCTTTAAGATTTTGCTTTTGTATTACAGTTCTAAGTAAAGCATACTCCACATACATGTAGTAACACCCATCAACAAAACTGAATACTGAAAGGGGATCAGATTTTAAATACATACAATGTATATATTATCTGATGTGAACACAACTCATTTTGTTGTTGAAAACTTGGTACATGTACTGTATGTTGATAATTGATCTACATTTAAACCAAAAATACATTTCATTCACATAACATTTAAAATCACAATAATATAACGTGTATATGTCATGTTAATATACCAAATCACCCAGTTCATATTTTATGACATTAGCCCACATTCTTCAGGATGTAAATTACACTTATAAGTATCTAGGCTTTGTTCATTTCTACTACAGTGTAGTTCCATTTTATAATTAGGGAGACAAAGTAAAAATTTAGGAAAAATAAAAAAATAACTACTAGCATGTACATGTAGTATATAAATACATATTGCATATATTTATGGCTTTGGAAATAATAACAAGCAAAACAACTTGGCTTTGTGATAGCTATGTTGACTCAAAATACAGGGACACCATACATTATCCAACACATCTGATGCATTCTAGTAACAGAAATTTAAGTTATATTGGAATGTATCTATGGATGACAAAAAAATATGTTTAAATGACTTTCAAAAAAGAACAGATGTTTAAATGGTTGTGAATGAAAAGATGTTTAAATGGTCAACATGGGAACACCTTCTAGCACTAAATGGTTCATGACTAACTCAATTTCTGCAGCACTTTTTGAACCTATGGAATTTTCACATTGATATAAGGCTGGCATCTTGAGTATTGGGCCACTGTATGAAATTTTCACAATTAGACAATGTCATCAGTTTCCTGTTGAGGAATACCTTTGCAGTAGTAAAGTATGACAGTTATCACAAACACGCACAGGCTTAGCTGAGGAGGGCAGGGGCATCTTATTGTCTGAACACTCGTTACAAAATATATCTCCACAGTTTCGACAATGGTGCTGAAATTTTAAGATAAAATTCAATTTATTCACAGAGACTCTTCCCTACTGAATACCTGAAATTTTATACCTCATTTATTTTTGCTTCAGTTACTGTAAACCAACTTTTACTCGCGTGCGAGAAATTTTTGCGAAGTTCACGAGAGCCTCGTCATCGCTTATATTTCTCGCAGCAAACCGGTCCTAAAGTGTATGTGTCTATTAACAACAGAATCAAAAAAGGCTTGATCGCGAAAATTAATTGTCACGAACTAGTTTATCCGTAAATTGCGAAATAAAGTCGTCACAAATAAAAGTTGGTTTACAGTAAATGAATTGATTTAGCTTTGTAAAAGAGTTTACAACAATAGTTATACTTTCATTGAAATTAGTACTTTCATCAATGTGAATTTTGTCTGATACAGATGTTGTATATTCTAAAATCTTGTCTAATCCAATGTAAACTTTAAGTCCCTTTTAGTCATTTTTATTGTTTAAAATCTTGTCTTATCCAGAATGTTGTCTAATCCAGAATGTTGTCTAATCCAGCAAATTTCTTTAGAACCAGTGGTGGTCAGATTAGAGAAGTTTTACTGTATATTTGTCAATTTGTTTACAAAGAGAAAGTTACAAGAACTTCAGAAGAACCCCTTGCACTGTTAAAATTACAGACTCCTAAAAAAAAAAATACAATAAAACACACTTATAATAAAGTGCCAGGGACAGATGTTTTTGCTTTGTTAAAAATTAAGTTCATTATGCCTATCAAAATCTTAATTTATGTTAAAGCCCCAGGGAAAGAAAAACCACTTTGCTGTAAGCATCAACTCATTATATGTGACTGTTCCTTGGGAAGAGACGTATACACCGAGGTCACATGTCTGTGCTGGCACGAAAAAGATCCCTCAATGCTCAATTGCTGGAAGTGCCGAGTATTAGACAAACTTTGCAGCTCTCCACAGGCAAGTTATGGCGTCTCCATTTGAGTGAAAGATTCTCTAGAGGGATGTTTAACAATATACAAACAAACAAAAAAGTCAATACAGTAAAATTCGTTAAGTACGAACACGGATATTGCGAATTCACGTTTATAGCGAAGTTATCTTCGATTCCCAACTACACAAATGTTACAAATTTCTTATACGGATATAACAAATTACGGATATAGTGAAGTAATTTTCCAGGTCCCAGTGAATTCGTTATAACCGAGTTTTACTGTACTAGCGAGTTGACTATAAGCATCTGATTACCCGTCGCCTGGAGATGGAGAATTCTTTACTACAGCCTTTACAGTTTGTGGCCTCCTTGTCACTGATCCACTGGGCCTCCTTCACCGCCTGCTGCGCCTCCCGCATGTCCTCAACACGTAACTTGGACCTGGATTTATAAGAAATACAGATCTATCAATGAACATAAACTGGAACAAGCTTTTCCTGACCCAAATAAATTTTGAATCTATGAGATTATTTCAATTTAAAAAAAAAAAATGAAAAGAAAATTGGGTGCTCATCACTGCACATAATTTTTTTTACCACAGCTAGGATCATATATGAAGAAGGTGTTCTCCATATTTAAAAAAAACCTTGATTTAAACACACTCTCTTGTTGTTTTTGCTTGAAATTCAGAAAAAAAATTCTAACAGTGTTGCTTACGCGCTCAGATGAGATCCCAGTTCAGCTAGTGTTCTCTCTTGCTCTTCACACGTTTTCTGCATCTCCTTATGTCGATGCTCCAAAGCAGCATATTCCTTCAAATTTATAAAAATCATATTGAAATTGACAAGCATTTCTTTGTTGTATGTTTGCAACAAAAGTTTAATCAAAATTATGTGGATACTATTCGTTTAAGATGTATGTTATAAAAAGTATATTTGAATAAAAACATTTTCATAAACAGTGAAAATCTTTACAGTTATATAAATTAACACAAAATCTATATCTAACTGTTTATACTTCTGAAGGTCTGTCTGTATTACTGTAAATCTAACCTTATCTAACTGTTTATACTTCTGTAGGTCTGTCTGTATTACTGTAAATCTAACCTTATCTAACTGTTTATACTTCTGAAGGTCTGTCTGTATTACTGTAAATCTAACCTTATCTAACTGTTTATACTTCTGTTGGTCTGTCTGTATTACTGTAAATCTAACCTTATCTAACTGTTTATACTTCTGTAGGTCTGTCTGTATTGCTGCCACTCTCTCCTTTTCCTCCTCCAGTGACCTCTGTAAGGTCCCTCTCCACTCCCTTTCTATTTTTAGATCTGTCTCCAGTGCTGTCCTGAAAATGAAAAATAAAGTCACCTCCATTGGTTTCTTTTCAATTAAAAACCAGAATGATGCAACTTCAATTCAAATGTCACGTTATAGCTGAAATGAATTTATTTTTTTCACTTTTTGATTTTTCTGGAAGCTTTGGGCACCATTTTTGGCTCATCCTTGCACACTGGAAAATTTACATTTTCTTTTTTTAATTTCTGGTTCATTTGTTTATGAGCAAATCCAGCTCTTTAAATTTGCATATCAATTACCTAAAATCATTCTATGGCATACTGGGATGAAATTACTTTCAATTGTTTAGAAAAAAAACAAAGAGATAATGGTTGATGAAAGATAAGAGACTCATGGGCCACATCGCTCATCTGATCACATTGGCTAAGACATATACAGTAAAACTCGGTTATAGCAAAGTCCTGGGGACCTGTGAATTTACTTCGCTATATCCGTAATTCGTTATATCCGTATAACGAATTCGTATAACCATTATAGAGAATTCGCAATATGCGTGTTTTCCTTCAGGTATTACTACCAAATATGTTAGGGAAGTAAATATTAAAAACATATTGTTACATTGGGGAACTTGAATATATTTAACCTTTTGTAAATAAGAATGCTTCCATATACACTTGTAAAGACTCGGTTATAGCTAACTTATTGATTGTATTGATTGTGACGTAATATAGGTATCTGATTGTCTCTTATGTCATCATAACAACTTTTGTCTATATAAACCAGCTGTTTTGGGTTTAGACTTAGTCGGCTGTGGGGAGCGACTCGGAGCACACAGCCTTCCCTGGTTTACTCCGTATACTTCGGTTATAAGACGGTACCAAGTCTATATACGAAACCATTAAGGGGACCAAGTTAGTAGGAACGTCCTGTATTGACCATCGGTTGGTCACCTTTTTGTTAACCAAATAACGTTGTTATATCCATTTTGTGTGTATAACTTAATAAATGAATTCGTATAACCATTATAGAGAATTCGCAATATGCGTGTTTTCCTTCAGGTATTACTACCAAATATGTTAGGGAAGTAAATATTAAAAACATATCTTCGATAACTAAGGTTTTATTAAGAATTGAATTTTATATACAAATGCTAAAAGTAAATCAAATCAATTCAATTTTTCAATTTTTTTATAATGTTGGAAAGTTCGTAATAAAAGATGTAAATTTCATTATATTTAACCTCAACGGGACTCAAAATCAGTTCGCTATATCCGTAAATTCGTTATATCAGAGTTCATTATAAATTTTTCCAAAGATTTGTTAAGAATTTTGCCGGGAACCCTGAAAAACTTTGCTATATCCGTGAATTCGTTATATCCGTGTTCATACTAAACGAGTTTTACTGTAAATATCAGAAATGGATCTGCTCTTCTTGAACAAATGTTTAAATAATATGTTTTATATATTCCTTTGATTCCACATTGTGGTCCCTAATCTTCCCTTGGGGATCATGATTTTAACAACCTAAAATCTACACTACCTGAAGATGCTTCCATGTTAAAATGACTAACGAGTAACCATGATATTACTGTTCTTGAGAAGATTTTTTCCTATTCCTTTGTAAAAGAAAATTTCGACCCCCCATTGAAGCCCTTCTCTAGCTTAAGGGATCATGATTTAAACAAACTTGAATCTACCCTACCTGAAAATACTTCCACAAATATGTAATTAATCATGGCACTGCTCTTTTTGAGAAGATAACTTTTAGAGATTTTTTTTTCTATGTATTCTGATGTAAAAGTTTAATACCCATTGTGGCTCCACCCTACCTTAGAGTTATCATTTGATTAGTATTGAATATACACTACCTAAGGATGTTTACCTATCAACATGACTAATCAAAGCTTTGTTGTTCTTCAGAAGAAAATTTTAAAACTTTTTTTCCTATATATTTCTATGTAAAGCTTTAATCCCCCCCCAATTGTGGCCCATCCTACTCTTGGGGTCATCATTTAAACAAATTTGAATCTAAACTATAATTATGAAGAATGTTTCCTATAAATTTCAACTTTTATGGTCCAATAATTTTTTATGAGAACTTTCAAAAAATACCACCAAAATTTTACCTCTCTATTTCTGAATAATATCCCCTTGAATTAGGATGTGGATCTTTATTTGAAGAAATCACCTAGGTTGATATTGGCTCAGTGATTCCTGAGAAGAAGTCAGAAATGTGAAAAATTTACATTCAGACAGACAGATAGACAGCTAGTCAGACAAAACTAAGACAAAATGAGACCAGAAAAGCTCACTTGAGCTTTCAGATCAGGTGAGCTAGAAGGGATTGTATTTCATAAGAAAATTGAATGATAAAAGGCAAAAATATCTCCTTTTATTCATAAATAACTCCGACAAACAACTCCTACAAATTCACAATAGCCTGTCCTTGGATTCCTGTAAATACCAGCCTGTTTTCTATTCGGTCATGTTTCTGATTTTGACTTCTCTTACCATTTTGATTTATTATCCATTTATAAAAAAACTTCTAATTTTGGAAAATAAATGGAAACTGAGTGCTGGAAAAAAAATCTATTACCACTTCTATCAATTCTGCTGATCAACTTGAGCTCTTTTCAAGGCACTGTTAAAACTGAAAAGACTGAACTGTTCCTATTTAACATCCACTTTTTAATCTCAGTTTCTGGGTTGACAATTCCCATTTGTTTTTTCACCCACCTTTTTGCGTCTTTGTCGGCAATGATTTGGCCGAGTTTTCGGGCTGTTTCTTCAGCTGCCTGTTTGTCAGCTTCAGCTTGTTTTAATCTTCACACACAAACAAAAGCAGGAGACACAGACATGCAAAATAAAACAAAAACAAAAAATCAAAATCATTTTACACAATAATTTGGAAGCTAATAACTCATCAAAAGCCTAGGAACCAGCATTGTGTGTGTATTACTGTGGAATCATTAATTTTTTTTTTTTTGGGGGGGGGGGGTAATTTTTGTGGTTTTCAAGGTATGAGGAAACCCATGATATTATGTCCAATATGAAATGTAATTTTTCGCACATAAAATTTTTCATCTACTAAATCAAATCCCGCAGAACCCATTCATTGCTGCCTAATACAAATAACAATATTTCCTTTGCAAAATCTGCTTAGAGATTGAAAAAGAAAGTCATTCACTATCTTGTGTAGACTATTATTTAAATACAGGAAGTTTATGATTTTATTTATCCTGGTTCCTATGCAAAGCATTTTCTAATAAACTAAAAAATATAAATATACTGAACATTGTGTATAGTTTATAAATCTTAAATGCAATAAAGGCTCTCTCCATTGCAACATGAAAAAATGGGAAAGGCATAAAAAAATCTCTTGTCATTTTATTTTGGTATACTGTAGATCACTATATTTTCCCTTCACTTTATTTTTGCAAGACAGTCATTGACTCTTTATAATTGAGACATAATTTTCACGAATTGTTAATATTTCTCTATATAATCTTAAGGAATACTATTACACGCGAGAATGAAATTTTGCGTGCTCACTGTCTCACGTAATTAGGCGAAAATAAAGTTCTCGCGAATAAAAAGTGATTTACAGTATTACATTCTTATAGAATATAATCAATGGGCTATTATGTGTATTATATATGTATGATTTTTGTGACTTTACAACAATGAAGAAATGTGAATATATTATACAAAGTTGAAAATGTGCTACAAATTTCATGTCATTAAATATATTTGGCTAGTATGTATATGGTGACATGTTATAAGACAAAAGAAAGGGTGGAAAAAATGTTATATTCTGTTCAGGAGAAAACACCTTCTTTTAAAATTCTACATGAAAATTGTAAGTTTTGTAATTATTTCATTAAATCCACCCCCTTTATGTCTATCCAGCGAAAATGTATTTGATATATAAATAGAAATGATGTAACAGTGACTAACCTCTTTTCCATGTCCTTGAGTGTGGTCACTAACTGATTAGTTTTCTCTTCCAGCTTAGCGACTAATTCACTTTTATGTTTTAAACTGCCCTCACATGCCTACAATTAAGAAAAAAATAATCTTTTACATTTGTCAAATTATATAGCTAAAGCTAATTATCAAATTTTATAGGAAGTGAAAATTTCATCCGAGATCATACAAGCAATGCCATATGGGTTTTGGGTTAAATTACCATTGGACCTCTAGCAAATTTCATTTGATAGTTTAGGGCTTGCTTCTCTCATTGAGCTTTCATCAAGAATTAGATGAAATATGCGGAGATGATGAACAGTATTGAGCTCAAAAGTCCATTAAACATTACAAAATAGGAGCAGGGCATTATAGAAAGGATACAGTTGACACCTCAAATTCATGTGTTACAAGCAAGTTGTTTATCATATCAAATGCCTTAATGCAATTTAGATGTCACTATATAGTCAGTTCACTAACTATTGAATGAAATTTGCGGAGGGTCCAATGGCAACATGTTGGCTCAGAACCCATGGCGTTTAAGGATGCTCAAAGATACCATAATATAATTATTTCATATGCTTTTGAAGAATTATGTAAAAAGACGAGGAGAATAATTATAAAGCCACATCAGTAATTACAAATTAATTAAGCCCAACCAGTAAACAAGGATAAAAAAACTATTTTTAGCATCTAATCACAAGGACTAAGCCAATTATGTATCAAAATTTACTAACATGCCTATAACAGAATTACATGTTCTATTAGCACTTGAAAATGACCTGATGATTCAATATTACAGGAATTAATCTCCTACTATTGAAAATGAGCGACCACAAAGACACATTAAAGGTCATTTGCCCTCTGTTACAAGGGCTTAAAAGACAATGATTAATCATCTTCCCCATGCCCACAAAAGAAGATCCCAGAAATAAATGCCACTGGATAATTCCATTCTTCATTTCAGGACAAGCACCTGCTCTCCTCTTATCATGCTTCAATTGACAAGGAATCTTTAATTTACAATAGTTCCATATCTCAATCAAAATATTAAACAAAATTTATTCTACCTGATTGAACACGAGTTGGATAATTTTGGAGATAATTATAGTGTAAAAGACTCAGGGTTGTCCCTAACAATTGAAACAGCAGAGGACATTAGAAAAATAATGTCACACCCTCCCCCAGATAAATATGTCCAATCAAGACAAGAGTCATACCCCACAGCCACCCCCTTACAAAATAGGGTTATCATGTTTTGGGCTTTTTTTGTGAAAGGCAGTCAACAATTTAAAATAAGTTTTACATCAGCATAGAGGAATTTACTTCACACTGAATGAAAAGTCATTTAATTTGTCCAAAGTAGACATTGCATACCATTGGCTTTTCATATGTGCTAGTGTGTATCTCCAACAAAACATTGACAGAAACATACATGTAATATAAAAGAGGCCTATAGGCCACAACACTAAGTAACCTGAGTAACTTTGGCCATCCTGTTCTTACAACTAGACCCACCTTGGAATACCTAGTGTAACCCAATCCTATCCCTGATGAATCCTATTCAGATTTTAGTGGGTCTTGAGAGGAACACTTTTAAAGATTTTTCCTATAAATTTCAATGTAAAACATTTTGGCCATGCTCTATCCCCGGGGGTCATGATTTGAACAATTTAGAATCTACACTACCCCAGGATGCTTGAACCTTCCACATGTTTCAGCTTTTCTGGCCCTGTAGTTCTTGAGAAGAAAACTTTTATTTCCTATATATGTGAATGTAAAACTAGCATTCCCTATTGTGGCCCAACCCTACCTTCGGGGGTCATGATTTGAGAATTTAGAATCTACACTACCAAATGATGCTTCTACATTTCAGCTCTCCTGGCCCAGTGGTTCTTGAGAAGAAGATTTTTTAATGACTCCACCCTATATTCCTCTTTCCTTGATTATCTCCCCATGTAAGGGAGCTGGGCCCTCCATTTTAATAATTTCAACTCTCCTTCACCCAAAAATACTTTGTGCCAAGTTTGGTTAAAATTGGCCAAGTAGTTAGTGAGAAGAAGCTGAAATGTGAAAAGTTAATTTACATATTACAGATGGATGAACGAAGGACAATGCATGATCAGAAAAGCTCAAGCTTTTAGCTCAGGTGAGCTTAAATTAGATATACATAATCATCTTTATGGCAATTTCTATTATTATTTTTTTTTTAGTAAACTTGTAATATTTTTCTAGTAAAGTTATATTAAGCAACAACATGTATAGTTTTTTTCAAATCTTAACTGGCTTTGATTTTCTATTGATTTCAAACAAAGAATTAAAATGATTTCTGGACATGTGGTCAAATACCTGCATATGCATATACCTAAAAGTTTTAATTATAATACATGTATTCCCACTGTAAAATTAATTGGAAATATTTAATTAAAATTCACTCTTAATGTTTGGAAACAAACATTCCAGAGAAATTGTACCAAAGTATGCAATGTTCACTGAACAATGATGGAATGGCAATTTTAAAAATACTATAGATTCCTAAATATACGAATGGAATTAATTATTGCGTATTTTTGCGAGAAGCACCACATGCGAAATAAAATTATTAGCCTTCATTTTTATGGTGCTGTAATTCACATAAAATCTTTTGATCAACCGTTCATTCGCGAATTATTATTCTCATGATTTGAAGTCAAAGAGCTCATTCGCAATAATAAGTACTCACGAAAAAATAGGAATCTACAGCAGATTGAAATTCTGTTACAGAAAATTAATATTTTCTTTACTCAAAAAAAGAACATAAGCAATAAAAGACAGAAGTAACATTCAAGATATATTCACATTACTGACAGCTGTTCAAATAAATGTATGCCCAATTTAGTTTCACATAACCTTGACAACATTTCAGAAGTTAGATCTGTCCGCCCATTACCGCCAGAAATACATCTATTTACAAAGATTGATTCCCAATACTGTCCAAGACATGGCAAGTATCCCTCCTTGTACAATTAATCCATTAATCTAGAATGACCCCCAGCCAAACTTATGGATGCAGCTAATTTCCTTCTCTCATATATTCTTACTGGGGCAGGTGATTTCAGATTTTGGTCACTTTGAGGATTGTCATGTAAGACTGACTATAAATGTATTTATCTACCGTTGCTACGTCCCATTCAACAGAAGGAGAGAAATCAGGGAAATTTACAAGGTAAACACTTAAGCAAGCTCTCTCATTAGTCTTTCGATAATGTTTAGTCATTTTTGACTTTTGTATTTTAAAAATGGGCATGTAAATATGAAACTTTTCCCATTCTCAACACTAACCAGGAGTTTTCCTCACATTTAGTAACTTTTGTATTTTTTACCAAAAAAAAGTTTAAATAAAATCTCGTCTTAAAAGTAAGTTTTTTTCTCTTCTACTTTCCTTTTATCTTTTAACTCAATCTCAATATTTGAAATTAGTGGAAAATATATTACATTTATAACATCATCGTTTTTTTGAAAGGATGAAGACTTCACCGTGTACACAAGTGATTGTGATAGTTTTGACATTTGGATTTTTGTGTGAAGTCCACGCTCAAAATTACCACTTCAGCAACGGCTGGCAACCCGGCAAAAGGAGTTATAAACCATGTGCTCTCAGGCCAGAAATACGATCTATTTTATACAAAATCATCGAGGTAAATACATATTAACATTTATTGTGTGTGAAAAAAAATTCATATCAATTTAATATAACATTTACCAATGTACCAATTTATTGAATTTAATATAACATATATTGTATGAGAAAAATATCTAATAATTCTTGTAAATTTAAAATTAAGTTTTGAAAATTACTGAAAATAAATGTTAATATTGAATACCAATTTAATATCTCATTTATCAATATACTGATTTAATATAACATTATTGTTTGAGAAAAAATTCTGGATTTTAATTAAAATTATAAATAAGTAAGTTTTGAAAATATTTAAAAATTGATGCTATAGAATACCAATTTAATACGATTATTATTATGCATATTCTTGTCAACATACTACTATCCCAGTAGCTTTTTTAAACTGTCAAGAATTTTTTTTAAATCCCTCTTTAGTAGATACACTAAAATATATTTAGTACAAACACAAAGATAGCAAATTTATAGTTTTGAAAATCAGTGCTAAATCCTTAACAACTCTTTGTAAATAATTTAATTTTACAATGAACTTGGATAGAACTAATTTTAAGTTTTGTTTTCCAGCTAGAAAAAAGATCCATCTTTTATCATATAGCACATTTTTAAAGATCTTACTTTTTTACAGCATTATAATATTGTAACTTGAAACTGTGTTAATTCATCCAAATATATTTTGAACTAAAATAAAATTTTCTATTTTATTCTTCTATAAATACATTTGAAGTCAAAAGAAAATGAAATTAAATTTGAATACTGGTTTCCAAAAAATGCTAATTGATATATCATCAATGTCCAAGTATAAAGGTGTACTAACAAAACATAACTATTCTAAAATCATTAGTTAGGAAAAAAATCAGTGATACTGTTAATGTTTGTCAATTTAGATCAAATGAATCTACTTGAACTTTTAAATGTCTATCATGAACCCATCCTAAATGAATTAATAAATATAGAGATCACTTTTTCTTAGCACAATTTATCTTAATTTCTTTGAAATACTCTCATTACTGATAATGTATTTAGGTAGATTATTTTTGTTGTCTATAAATCTTTACATTCAGTATCAAGTTAATAATGTTGGTTATTCTGAGAACAAAAACATTACAAGCAACATACTGTCCTGAAAACTAAATTGTGGTAAAACTGAGTAAAATCTGACTGTATCGTTTACAGGATGAGGTGGAGAGAATACAAAAATGCACAAACTCAAACTTTGATGATGTTTTCTCAATGATGCAGGTAATTAAGATTTTTATCATCATTTAATTCCTAACTGTACTTATTACTTCGCCTGCATGGCAAAAGCTTAATTTGCACTACTGGATAACTCAATCCTCATTTTAAAAAAATTAGGATCACAAAATCATGTCCTATTCACTAATCTTAATTGTAAATCCAATTAATAATAAATTTTTGTATGCTCATCTTAATCTACAAAAAACAGAGCAAAACACAGAGACTTAAAAGTGGCCATGTATGAATGAAATAGTCAAACCTCAGTTTAAAGACCTGATCAACCAAGAAAAAAACCATGAGATATCCAACATTTGAGATATCAGGTTTAAATTACATAATTAACAAATTATTGGGACTTTCGACCCGCACTTGGAATTTTGGATATCAAAGTTTGAGATGACAACAGTTTAGAGATTAGTTTGAGACCAAGTGAGAGATCAGTTTGAGATCAAGTGTGAGATCAGTTTGAGATCAGTTTGGGATCAAGTGTAAACTTGTGTGACCAAGCTTAGTATCTAACAAACTGAGCAGCTGGAAATGGTCCCCAAATATATTGTTCTTTTTTTTTTGGGGGGGGGGGGTTAATTTTCATTGTAAAATTGGCAAATTACACATCTAGTATATTTCTTCAACAACGAAATCAAATTCAAATGAAGCTACATTTTTTTTTTCATGAGAGAAGCATGATAAGCTCCTGAAAATTTGAACCCAGAAAATAAGTGATATTCTATTTCTAAATTTCTTTTCAGGATAAAAATAGTGTGGATGCCAGAGAAGTTTAAGCAGCAGAACAGAGACAAGCCTGGGGTGGAACCATTACATGTAATAAGCAATATGTGTTCAATATCAATGGACGAAATAACAAAATAAAGTGGTAAAAATTATATCTTGGTCTTTACTTTGATTCACCTGAATGGTTTAAGTTTGGATAGGAGCATACAGGTAGAATATAATGGAACCATTACATTTTTGGAGGCAATTACTACAAAGTTCATCAAATTACAGACACACTCAAAAGTCTATTATATACTTTTATTAAAACCTTTCATAAAATTAATCTTCACTTACTTTGGGCACAGAGTTTACACAAGAGGCAAATATAGGATTTATTTAAAAGAATGAAAAGAATAGCTGATACATATTACTTAAATATTTACTTCTGCCATTTCGCAGAGGGGGGGGGGTCTATTTAATTCATTCCTTAAATGTCAGTTTTTACACATCGAGATGAAAATAAAAGTATTACACAATATACAGTAAGTTTATAATTTCAGAGAGTATACATAAAAAATTCAAGAGTTTTATTTATCAATGTTGCAGACTATATAATGTAAGATCAAAACTATAAATCAAAGTTTCTTTATCTCAGAAAATCATAATTTGCTTGTCTTCAATTTTCTAAATACTACAATCTAACTTGTATGTAATTTGCAGTCAGATATGATCCAAAAACCTTAGACAAAAGGTCACCCTATATCAGATGAAATACTGTCAACGTATTACATTTAGCGGTGTATTCTGTTTAGCGATTTTGGCGGAAAGCAGCGTCTGCTAATTCAAGTACATCGCTAAATGTCTTTTATATTAAATTTTATAACTAGCAAATCCAGACAGCGCTAAATCAAATCTACGCTAACTTGTTGAAAATTGAATTTCCGCCAAATATCGTACACGCCAAATGAAATACATTTACAGTACTGTGAAATCACTAATTTTCATGGGGGGTTAATTTTTGTGGTTTTCAAGGTAAGACACCCACAAATTTATGTCCACAACAAAAGGCAATTTTACACACATATTACTACTGAACAATTTGTCAACCACGAAATCAAATTCCCATGAACCAATGTTTTTCTCAAACCACGAAAATTTGACCCCTCGAAAATATGTGATTTTACAGCAAACTTGTTTCATTTCACCAAGCCAGTAAGCAAGTATATATAGTCAAATCTTGTTATTTCATATCCAGTAGGACCATGAAACACTTCAAGATATCTGAGTTTTGACATGCAGTTAAAATAACAGAAGAAAAGTGGTTGGAACTTCAAGCTGATTTTTATATATCCATGGTATTTGAGATAAAGTTTGATTGATCCTAAATAAAATTACTGCATTTCTCAACAGACTTTCAAATAATACCAATGTCCATGGGAAAAAAGGGTTTTTTAAATACATAAACCTTAACTTCTTTGATGTGAAGCGTTCTCGCGAAATCTCGCATTTATCGCTATATTGGAGCGTCAACCTTGCGGCAGGTATTAATTATAACGGATGTTTGATGCACTTCTTAGAGTGACCATACGATTGTTTGGTTAGATTACCTGTAAATCTTGATAAGCATTCATAAGTAACAATCTGCGAAAACATCTGAGATTTGCTTTAACATTTGATGCTGATAAGTGAATTCTCACAAAGTGGACACGACTAAGGAATATTACCAGAGAGTTGACATTGAAGATAATCTACGAGGCTTGGAGGAGATGTGCAGAAATCTACATGTTACCTGTGATTTACCTGTAATTTCTGGTACATTTCCAGGTTGATTCCTTTGATGTCCTCCAGCTGTTGTCGTAAGGAAATCATGGTGTCCTGTTTCTCGTGGATATCTTTCTCTAATATTCGCAGCGCCATCTCCATTTCTTGTTTCATGCTGATCTGCAATTCTAGTTCCTTCTCAACATCCTATATTTAAAATAAATGTTTTTATAGTTTTTGTTTCATTTTTGATTCACACAGTCTTTCATGTTAAGTATTGAAGGATGCAAATTCCAATTTCCATTAAAATATTTAAATGTTAATATTTTAAAGAGTACCCGCTGGGTGTGAACAGTTTGACAGGGAATGCTTACTCCTCCATGGCACCTGAACCCACCTATAATATTTCTAGAGTTTTGTGTCTACTCTACTCCTTTTTTTTCCAAATACTATTGAACTTGACTACTGTTCATTATCTCCAAAAACATCATCAGAAAAACTTACTTAAACTTTCACATATAAGAATACAACTAGTTTTTCTTTAAAAATATTTTAGTACTTGTGTGCCCTAACAGGTAACTTACGAGTCTGACGTGAGTTTCCTCCTCCAGCTGTTTTTTGAGGTCGGAGTACATGCTGTCCAGTCCCTCCCTCGACGTCTTGTATGTAGCTCGTTCTGTTTCAATGTCTTGTTTAGCAGCCTTTATAAAAAGATAAATGCTTATATAATTTGATATTGAAAAAAGGTAAATTCTATTACAAATATTAATACCAGGGTATATATACTGTCATGTACGTGTATTTACTATCTGAAAAATTAATGCAAAAGAATTGATATTTTCTGTATGCATTGTCTTAAATTTAAGTGTACCAGAAAATGGTTTAGTTCTCTGAATCAAAGTTTTTTTTCTTCTCTGAAATCGATAATATTTCAGAGTCTGAGCACTCAAAATCAGGGAATTCAGTTCATTAATGAAGTCCTTGCAACTTTTTTTAAGTATTCAATAATTACTTTATAATTTTGGGTTTGGAAGGTTGGGTGATTCTCTTAATATTGTTATTAATAATATTTCAAACTTAACAGATTTGAAAGTGTGATTTGATATGTACAAGTATGAAATTTAAAAAGTGCAGGAAGATGTTCTTGTGCCACTAGGGATTTACATTTTGCTTTAAGTAGCTACTACTGCAATAGTTTTACTGCAATCAAGCATGATAATACTGTTTCGTTCTTTCTAGTTTCTGAAAAAAAAACCTCTGCCTTAAAGCTTTTATATTTTCTGTTCCTCTAAACAAAATATTGTTTACAACAAATGTTGAAGGAAAATTGAGTAATGAAATAAAAATATACCGTCATTGAAATTTAAATAATTTAATTTTGTTTGTATTCTTGCCTCTCATTGGTTGATTTCCAAAAAGGAACGCATAACATTTTGTATAATCTGGTTTGGTATGGGGACACCCCCCCTTGACAACCAGGTGAATCATCTGTATCCATCAATCTCCTCATTTCCAGTCCTTGGGATTCATGGAAAATTCCAGATTTAATGAATGTACCTTTAACTTCAAACAGTAGCTCGATCTTACCTCGTGTAAACAAGCATCATGGCTGCTAGATCTATGTATCAGTTTTTACCTCCCCTCGCTTCCCATCACTTCCGTTACTACGGTTGTATTATTGCGCGGTAAATTTGAACTCATAAAAACAACACAATTTTACACCCCCAGTTGTTTAATTATTTTAAAATTAAATTATAAGGAATGACTCATTCCTTAAATAAAAACTTCTATAAAATTTATATAAATGCAGGTACAAGTGTCAAGCACCAATACAAACACACAACATTTTTACACCAGCCTTTTAATTATATAAATTTGTCTTAAGTAATTGTGGAAAAGGATTGTGAGGTTGTGACAGGACCTTTAGAATGTGTGCCATTTGCTGTGGAATTGTTTACATAATAGGAATTTTCTTAATTCTAAATTACCTCTTCATGTTTTATGACAGCCTGTATAATGAATGTCAGATTGAAAGTATGGCAAAGCTTTTGAATATTTTTACGAAAATAATACACTGTATCTTGTCTAATCCACCTTGCACTGGGTGACAAATTTTGCATTGGAATTGATATGGTGTCGGATTACACAGTGTAAAACACATGAAAATAGTAAAAGGGGAAAGAAATTTAACATCGAAATTGACAGTGTGGCGGATTCCACAGGTGTCAGATTAGACAGTTTTCACTGTATCAAAGTTTTGATGTAGAAATTACCAGAGAATATAGAACATCATTAGCATTTACTTTAACTTCTTCTCATAATTAAAAAAAATAGCTCAAAGTATCCTTACCTCCAGTTGCCTCTTTGTGTCGTCTACAATTGAACCCTGGTTGGCTTTCAGAGTGTCATTTTCTGCCTGTAATTCTAACACCGAGTTTTTAGCAATGGCAAGATCTTCTTTTAATAGAGTATTAGTAGTTTGAACACTCTCTAGTTTTTGTTGTAGATTTGTGACTGTTGCACTGAAAAACAAAATGAAATAAATTTATGCACTGAATGAAAATGTCTTAAATGTATTTATTTTTGTGCTTGAATTAATTAAAGTCAATATAACAAATAAAGTAACAGAGAATTCTTATGTAATCTTTTTTTAAATAGAGTTGCATGTTGTTTTTAGGGTTTTAATTTAATTTAACATATGTATCTTTATACATGTACTTTTGCAAAGTAAAAGAATACATTGCACCATAACCAATCCTATTTTAACAACACAAACAAATACAGTCAAACCTTAATATATCCAAAATAGAACCAAGAAAAAAACAATGTCCTTACTTCAAATGTCTGTTGAGTTCCTCTAGATAATTTTTCTGATCTAGTATGGTAGCCATTTTGTTCTTTGTTTCTGGACTGTAAATCAAAAATTGTCAAAGGTCATCAGATCTTAGAAACATGGTTTAAAAGTTTAACCAGTGGGTGAGAGAAATACAAATTCTATTATGATACAAAACTTCTCTGATTCTATATAATAAATGATGTTCAATTTGCAGAAATTTTTTTCATTATATTTACACAAAAAAAAACAATACATGTACCATAAAGACTGATGGTGTTTACCTTTCATTTTCTGGTGATAGGTCATCATTAATTCTGTTGTTTAAGTACAAACTAAAATCTATGACTCCCATCTGAAATTAAAACATGAATAACAATCATGAGAATATTTTATGAAGAATGTTATAAAATTGCTTTTGAGTACAACAATAAAAGGAGCAAGGCCTGGGTCATAATAAATCACCTAGTGCTCTTTCTAGCTAAAGAACATTACCTATATATAACATTGCGGCCAGATCCATTAACATACCGAGACAAAGTCTTGTTTACAATAACTTTAAAGTACATTATATACAAGTTGACTCCTTTTCAAACTTTTTCTTTTGAAAATACAGATTTACAGGTGCCCCCCCCCCCTCCCTCCTGACATGAGTCACTTTCTTCTGAGAGATTTGTGAGGCACATTTCACATATTTGTTGTCTTTTTTTCTCAAAATTGAGATTGAAGGAGTCTGAAAATAACAGGTATTCCAAAACATTACCCCCACCCCCTTTCAGAAAAATTTTACTGAAATAGCCTTCAGCTTATCAGATTGTATAAGAAAAAATTCTAGAAGCCATAATCTTTGAACAAAAAGAATTTATCCAAATGATAATTTTTTATACATGTATAACTAAATGAATGAACGTACAGGTTGGTCTAAGTCCTCCTCCTTTATACACATGTTACAGTCGATGACATTAAGTCCCACAAGTAACCCCGTAAAAACCATCCCCTCATCCTCCAACATCATAGCACCAGGCTCGTAAAATTCACTGAAAATACAAAAATATATTTATATATACACTGAAACATTAACTAATTACACTTGAATGTAAATTAAAAAATTGCTTGAAATATTTCAGCTGAGAAAAGAATGATTAGGAGGGGAAGGGATATACTATGTACATCTCATAATCTGAAATTCAAAGAAAGGGAAAGAAACTTTTGGACATACATGTAATTGATGTTTTATTTAAGCATTGAATTCATATTTTTGGATGTCTTCGGTCCTATAACACACCTGGCCGTGCCAACAAATTGAATACCGCGCGTTAGCGCGGTATGATAATTTGTCGGCACGGCCAGGTGTGTTATAGGACTGAAGACATCCAAAAATATGAATTCAATGCTTATATTAACATTCTCTAATTTTCCCTCTTCATTATTGCTTATTTCGTTAATCTTAAATGTGAATTTAGTGCCCTTCAAAATTGCCGTGGTTAATAGATGTAAGAGCCATTTGTGACGTCAAATGACGTCAAATGACTTTAAATGACGTTGCAAAGTTAAATAACACAAACAAACATTGCGATGAAAAAAGTGACCAATTAATTCTTAACGCACATTACGTTCATTTTAACATTAATTTTTCATGGTTGTAGTTTTTCATTAAATTGAAATAAAACATTTTTACAAATTGGTGTTCCTAAAGTATTGAAAATGCAAATAGTTCCTACTGAGTATTCTAACGCGCGGTGACAAGGTTTCACGTATGTTATAGAAATTTGAACGTCGTAGATTTCTAATGGATTTCATAAGGAAAATTACACTGAATGTAAATATTAGAACATTAATTAACATGCATCAGTTTATGTATATGCCTGTTTTTCCAGATCATACCCAAGTACTTGGTCTTTTTTCTCACACAGTACTTTAAGATAGTCTGCCAGGCTCTTCTGCATCAGTGAGAGTCTCAGCCATGCTCTGGCTTTGCCTAATGGTGTCCTGCAGTGAAATAAGATACGTACATGTCAATATTTAAAATACTAGTACATTAGAGTCCATACCATAAAACATTGGAGAGTTTACATGTCATTACAACAGGAATTGAAAAGAATTCACAGTGTCAAATACATAGTATTTTTGCCAACATATCATAAATACCGTTAACTACAAATAAAGAAATAAACATCATGTACTTATATAATTATATTTCTTTTATTTACTGGTCATTTATCAAAGAAAGTGTTAACCCAATAATTTTCTCTTTCACTACAACTTTAATTAGAGTTACCCCCCTTGATGCATGATTGCCCGCATCATGATCTACTTCCTTTAACTTTCAGTTAGTGAGAAACTTGATTGGTTAAACTGATGTAGCCATATACCCTTACTTGAGGTTTGGCATTTCTCTGACACTGGTGGTTATTTCGGAAGCTTCGGGAACCAGTTTCTCTACCGTTTCCAGGACACACCAGAAATCTCGCCGATCTCGTAGTAAACTTTTCTTGGCTATTTTTGAAAAAAATGCATTTTTTGTTAAATATTTCATTGAGCAATAAAAAAGTTATTGATGATGACTGCTAAAATGGAGCAATATCTGAATAAAAATCTTATACAGTAAACCACACTTATGACCAAGAGCCAGGGGAGAAGACAACTTAATTTGCTTTATTATAACGGCAATTCATTACTGTGTATATCCATTAAAATTCACAGTATATATTTTTTTTAAAGTCTGCTGTATGCACAAAGTCCTAATATGCATTTTGTTATAAGTGACAATTCATTATAAGCATGTTTGCTATGAGTGAATTTTAATGTACATTCTCTCAGGCTGACAAATCAACAAAAATACATTTCCACTTACGCTTAAGTCCATGGCGCAGAACATGTTCTAGTACAATAAAGAACTGTTGAAGTGGAACGTGGTTGTCATCCAGCATGCGACCATGAGACAGACTGGAGTCGATCACCTCCTTTATGATAAGTTTGGATACATTTAACAAGTTACATCTCTCAATAGTTCGGGGGTCTCTTCCTAAACAAAACAGAAAAATGTTCTACATTATTCAAGAAAATAAAAATGTATACAAAAATATGTATAACAACATTACTATTGTTTGCAGCTGACTGTAAATTTTCACGTTACGTCACGATCTAGTTGACAGCTGCACTCAAAGTAAATTGTACACGTCTCTTAATCGCAAGCTTTACGACTGGAACTTTCTTCTTATCCCTGATTGGCTGCTCATGCAACAGACTATTTCCATATCAATGTTGAAAATTTGAGTTGACCAATCACATGAATTGTTTACGCTGGATGCATCTGACGAAAAAGATCGTGACGAAACGTGAAACTTTACAGTTAGCTGCAAACAATAGTATCATCTCTATCTAAGATTTTGGCATGCAGATTCATAATTAGATAGAAGAAATATCTGAAACATATCTTTATATTCTGCATTTTGAATATCATAATTAAAACAAGGTCAATATTAAATGATCAATCAATTAATTTCAAAACTGACAATGTTTTTGTGAGAAAAAAAGAGGGCTAGTTTAAAGTTAGATGACACGTTACTCATATTTATGTTTTGTATCTCTAGGTATTATTTAAAAAAATATTCATATTTGTCATTCTCTGCTGATTTCTACATTGTTTTCAAAATGTTTTTAAATATAAGTACAACAAAAATTTCGATATATGCCATTCAAAAGATTGCCCATTAGGGTTATTATGAAATATCTTTTAGGGTCAGTTCAAGTTTAGACATTTATATATAGATATATAGCCCTTCCAGATTTTTATTTTAGGTACCAGTAGCTACTGAGGCCTTAGCTGTCTTGCAATATTGTTTCCTAATTAGGACAGCAGGAGAATATATCATAGGTTTAATACCAACGGTTGCATTCATTCGTTCTGACATTGTATCGTTTTTGAAAGTGCATGGTGTGGGGTAGGCATACAATAAACTGCAAGAAAAAAAGTGGGGAAATTCTCCAAACTCGGGGGGGGTGGGGGGGGGAACATCAGGTTCTGTTGAGAAAAAAAGTTGGATGGGGGATGTCATTCCCCCCTACCCAACCCAAACCTGATGCTACATGCTTGATTAATATGTTTTTACTCTAAAATTATGTGAGCTGTCATATATAGTGACTCTCTTTCATAAACTAGAGTTATTGTGAGCAAGCTAATAAAATGATACTGTAAATCACTTTTTATTCACGAGAACTTTATTTTCTCGTAATTTCGCGAGACAGCGATCACGCGAAAATTTCATTCTCGCGTATAATAGTATTCATTAAGATTATATAGAGAAATAACCACATTTCGTGAAATTTTGTTTCGCTAATCAATAGTCAATGGCTATCTCGCGAAAATAAGGTGTCGCGAAAATTTAGTGATCTACAGTACCCACCCTCTTGCTATTGCATTAAATGTTTTTTATAACAAAAAAAGGTCCAGATATTAATTTAAAACCTTTTTGAAATTTTGCTAGTGCAGATATATATGCATTATACCCAAATGACTTTGACATATACTCAAGTCATAGGTAGTAAAACCGTTGTGTTGAGCACAAACTTCCAATTTCTCTTGTTATGTTCCCCAAACGGAGTTTGGGAACATATTGTTTTTACTCTGTTTCTTATTATTAAGTCTTCCGTTCACAACGGAAGACTTATAGTGTTTGTATTGTTTCTTATTATTATTATTATTATTATTATTCCTCCCAAATTTTGTGAGCGCGATTACTCAGAGATGGCTGGATAAATTTTCACAATTTTTCTCATGTAAGTAGGTTGATATATGAAGTTTATATAAAATTCCGTTTTTTGAAAAATTCACTTCCGGTCCGAAGTTATGGCCGATTTTCGAATTTTAAAATGGACTTTTGTCCGGCAGTTTTCTCGGAAATGGTTTGAGGTAAAGATATGAAATTTACAGGAGTATTAGATCATGATATTCTATTTGTTTTGAAGTTGTTTTCGTGTGTTTCCAGTACTTCCTGTCCGAACCGGAAGTGAATTTGTTTTTGGTCAATTTTCGATTTTTTTGTTTTTAGATATTTTTTCAAGATATTCTTTTGCAAAACAGACATTTTTCTACAAATAGTAAATATTTAATTTGATTTTAAATCAGATTCCGCATTTTGTATATTTTCGGTACCGAAATTTTCTCCATTTCCGTAGTATGTTTAAGGTGGGCAAAGAAAGATAACTCTGACCTGTGACTGAGAATAGAACTTTCGAGATAAAGGCGGAAATAGTATTGATGACGTTAGAGACATATACACGCTCTCCAGATCAACATATTTACACATTCAATATTCTCTCTTTTGCATGTTACTTAATTCACTTTATGCATATTAGTTTATTGGCTGTGTAGTGTTAGTCTTTATATTGAAAGTTTTTGATTAACAAATTTATATCTAAAAAAAATATCCGTTCTGTGTCAGCTAAGCACTTTGAAGAAAATAATATTGTACGCAGTATAAATTACAGCGATGTATATACAAATTATTCTACAAAATACTAAACATATTATTTATTCAATCGAATTCTGCATTTTGGAGATTTAAGGTTCCGTCAATAAATTCATTTTCTCTATTTACGTAGTGACAATGAGCAAAGATAGATAACTCTGACATGTAAGTGGGAAAAGAACTTTCGAGAAAAGGGCGGAGGTAGTATCCATGACGACGCAGATGTCTATATCCACACTTTTCACATAAAAAAATAATTAGACTTTAAGTTTCCATATCCACTTCTGCATGAAAGATTACGTTGGTTACTGCTTTCAGTATATGCATAGTTTAAAGTTGTCAGCGTAGTGTAAATCTGTGCTGTCTGTTATGATAATATTAAAAAAAATATATTCTTAATTCATTCTCTAATTTGAATGCGAAATTATCCCGGAATCCGAGTTTTATTTTCAATTCTAAAATATTATATGTACTCAGAAGGGAACTGAGAGATAGAAGAGTAGGTGTAAAGCCTTTAGAAATAAATTGATATCTGCAACTTAAAAGAAAGAAAATCAATCTATAGATTGGATTTGGTTTTAACACGTATATTTCATTGATTAAAAGTCTTTAGGTTTATTTATTATACATGATATATACTTTTATATACCCGAGAAGTTTTTAAAGATGAGAAAAAGCGATTCTAGGATTTTTGTGAAATATTAGTACTAGTACTCAAAGGGTTAACATTATGTGAAAGTTACGCGTTTCTGTGTGAAATAATGCTACGCTAAAATATGAAACAAAAATATCTGCAAAAGTCTGTTGATATGTTAGATAAAGTATACGAATGAACACAATTTTATGCAAGTTTTATAATTATATGCATGTACATGCAACCTTTAGTATTTTACTTTTAATTCATAAAACATAAAATTACCGAGTATGTAATCCTTTTGAAGCCCCCCCCCCCCCCCCTCTTAATTTTATTCGGAGACATTATTGCAACTATAGGCCTTTGAATTATAAATTCGATATACAATTAAACCTGGAACATTTGCTTATAATTACCATTAACATGTGTACAGAATTCATATTCTATAATAGTAGATTTTTCATTATACGAGACACTGAAATTTACATGTCTGAGAGAGAGAGAGAGAGAGAGAGAGAGAGAGAGAGAGAGAGAGATGTTCCCTTTTAATCCTGATTATCCTATCCATTTTCATAGACAAAAATCAGTTCTATATCAGTTGTATCCATTCTTTATTAAATATTTTCTGATTTCATAGTCCGTTATAGTCACTCTCTGTATATTTTTTCTGCTTAAGAAGTATATATTACACTAAGTGCACATGTATTGACCTGTCAATCAAAATCACCGGACGCTGTATGCATTGCAATCAAGTTGTTCGAAATGATTTTTATTAAGTATGATCTTTAAGAAAATCTGATGCAACAAATTTGGGAAATGAAAAATAAAATAAAAACATGACTAGAGCATCATATATCTGAATTATGGACTTAAGTTGTGTGGACGTGGAAGACCGGTCCGTCAGATGAAATCGTTTAAATCGAGGTCCCGTGTGTCACATGGTACTGACTCAAAAAGATTCCGCACTGCTCAATGGCCATTAGAGTCAAATTATAGGACAACATTTTGCAGTCCCCACCTTCTCCATGTGGAAAATTCTCGAGAGGGACATTAAACAACATATAATCAATAAATCGATTGCTGAATTATTCCTGTAGTTGAATAATCTTTCTGCTGACAAATCTCGATAGTATTACTGTAAAAATCAACGACTTTACGTTTAATGTGGTACTAACTTAGTTCATGACATTTTTATAACACCATCACAAATTGTGCCAGAACATAAACACAGTGAAGTTTATGAGAGTACGGTGTTCGTTCGTCCGTTGGTTTGTCTATGATACACGTGTAGCTCTTATGAGTGCCAAAATGCATCAGAACAAGATTGATCATGAAAATCAAAGTACCTTAAGTACTGAAAGAACTTTTTGCAGTTTTTTTTTCTGCGTACATATGATATCTATGTTTTTTGCACAGAAAAAAAGCAAATTCTTCTAGATTTAGAAGAACGGAAGACTTATTTGTTGCCATGGCAACAAGATTCTAGTTATTATTATTATTATTTTTTTTTTTTCTTATTTCTTCTCCTGTACTTTTTTTGTCCGCGAGTGTTCTCAGAAACTGTTCACCCAACTGAGCTAAAACCTTTTTAGGGTTAATAGGTGTGTAGTGTAGGTGTGCGGAACGAAGGTCATTTTGCGCGCATACGCATGCGTGCGCGTGAAATGAGTGAATTGACTGATATATTTAATATGGATGTAACTTCTATATTTTTTGATGAAATGTTTTGAAACTCATTATATAAGGATATATAAGATGTATAGATATGATTACATGGTCAAATTTGCATGAACTCACGCGCATGCACGTGCGCTTTGCTCTGATTGGCTGAAACAAAATCCTCAATATCTTTTTTGTTTTTCGATGAAATGCTTTGAAATTTATAACATAGTCATACATTAGGATTCCCTACAATATGAT